GAAGTGGCTTGAATGGATTTCCTTTTTGTTGGACCTAGAAGGGCTTTCTAGACTCATCATGCTATTGTGGAATGTATGAATTCGAAGGAACAAATGGGTGCATGATGAGGAGATGCAAGAGGATAGAGAAGAGGTGTTGGCCGCTTGAGGGTTATGTGCTGAATTTTCGAAGCCAACCGCTTGGACTGTTTTTTCCCCAACAAAGATCTTTTAAGTGTCACAAATGAAGTCGTCCAAATCCTGACTATGTCAATATCAATGTAGATGGGGCCTATAAGCTTTCAGAAAACACTATTGCAATTGTAGTAGTTGCTAGAGATTACAATGTGATGGTTCTGGGGGGTATGTACCGTCAGATTGACCCTACATTCTCGGTAGAATCTAGAAGTAGTGGCCTTCACCCAAGGGATAAAGTTCGCCATTGAAAACGGATGGTCAAACGCGGTTATTGAAGGAGATTTGATATCCATTATTAACATGTTTTCTAATCAAACAGAATATGTTTCAACCATCGAATTGCTGCTCAACGAAGCTCGTACGTTGCTAGTTAAGAAATTTAATCTCAAAGTCTTCTATGTCAACCGCGAGGCAAACCATGTGGCGTACACTCATGCTCAATGGACTTTGTCGATACCCAATTTGTTCTGGTTTTATTATGACGAACCTGATTGTATTAAGCCTATTATTCTCCTTGACGCTATTGGAATTTAATGAATTTCCTCTTTAAAAAAATAACATCCCACATTAATTGTGTAATATCCTATATTAAATACAATATATATATATATATATATATATATATTAATCTTAAGATCTAATCTACAAATGTGATACTCTTAGTTGGAATGTAAATATTTATTTTTTTTATTAAGTTGTGGTAAGTACAAGGCATTATATGTTTAAAGATAACTCTTAACCATTTGACATTGAACGCTCACACTCTTGTCATTCTTAGTGCTCAAATTTGAGTCCTCAAAGAATAACAACAATTCATTTACCACCGAAGTTGATTGGTTCATCACAATTGGATTATAGATATTAGTCATGTTTAACTTGTTACATACATATTAATCATTTAACACCCCAAATCCTGGGTCAGTAGTTCGGGTTATCCCAAGACCCAAAGTTGAGCCCAAAAGACTTTATAAATTAGTTGGACCAAGTTTAGTGTTAGTGGGCTTGTGTTGAGGCCCAAGGGAATTGTGGATAAGTGATAGGAGTTTTATGATTTAGAAGTTGGGGACTAATAATGTAGTTTGTCCATAGTTTAACACTAAAAGGTGAAAACTATTCCTTATTATATCTTATATGTGAACCACCCCTCCTCACCAAATACTTCTCTTATTTCTTCCCTAATTCATTTATTTTTCATTCTTTCCAAGTTGAGATATTAAGAGTTCTAAGTGTGGGGTTGCTAAGATAAGGTGATAATGTTCCCCTCCATCCTTTAAGCTTTGTTTTAAGCTCCATTTTGTGAGCTTTAGAATTAGTTTTCAAAATGGGTTTTTTGTTGAAGGTATGGTGGCTCTTAGTTGAGTTGAGAGGAGTTTTAGCGACCAAGGAGGCCAGGTAACACACTTATAGCTTTCTTATACCAAGTATAGATCACAGAAAGTTAAGTTTAAAGCATGTTTAGCAATTTCCATGGTAGATTGTTCGTTTGATGTTATAAGCATGCTAATAAGCCTCTATTATGACCCATTTTGATCAAATAAAACTTTAAGCATGTTTAAGGACTTCACTAAGGTCTTTGGGATTGAGAAATAGAGCTATTTCGTACTTGTTTTATGACTTCTGTAGGTAGAGTATCGATACTTATTCTTCGTTTTGGGAAAATTCGTGAGTTTCTGGGAAAACGTATCGACTCTTTGAACATAATGTTTAAAAGTATTGGTACTTATATAAAGTATCGAAAGTTTTGCAGGAGTATCGATACTCTTGGGCTAGTATCGATACTTTCAGTCTGTTTTAGGTAAAAATGTCAGTTTTTTAGGGAATTAGACTCGAGGTACCCCAACACTTCATTATATCATCAAATAAGACTACAAGTGAGAACGATAATAAAATTTAATTCAAATGTAAAAACAAGTATAGAGTAAGATCAAATAATAATAGCCTTGTTTGAATGCTCGGGAAATGACCAGGACACTTGAGTTTCTTTAGAAAAGATAATAGAGAATAAGTATAGAATCAATCCGAATATGCTTAGGTAGTGTGCAAGGCACTTAAAGCTGACTAGTTTGGGCATAAGGTCCGACACTCAAGGAGTGGCTAGTCGAGAGTGTGGCGTTCAATGTAGAGATTCTGAGGGCCACATTCTCGATAAACTATAGGGTTGTGTGAGCTCTGAGATGCAAAACCCTTAGTTGCACCATGATGTCTACTATAGAGTAGAGAGTGAGTATACAAATATACTCACTAAAGCAATACAAAATAGATCAGTAGAACATATAGAAAAGCAATAGACTTGAATGTTTAAGTCTTTCAGTGAATTACAAGTAGTATGTTTTAGCCGTTAGTGTGACGTTGAGCTAGTTAGCTCATCCTTCGGATGTTTCCGTGGGCAGGTTAATAGATCAAGCAGTTGGGAAGCAATAGATAGACCAAGGTCCAGACCAACCCAGTGCAGATCAGATGTATTTCTCAACATTTTTATTGGGCATGTATATTTGTAAACATTATTGTCCAGTTGATTCGTAGATGCAGTCATGTTGGTCTGTAATATTTTTGAAGTGTAAATATTTTATTTTGGAACTTCTCAATGAAAAGATTTTATTATATTTTAGTCTACTTTATGGTTAGTTATAATGGTCGTTTTAAAGCATGAAAAAATAAGTTTAAAGTTGGTTACCCACTTCAGTGGTTCATGTAGCACCTTAAATCGGTCGACTTTGTGTCATACCGGTCTAGGGTGTTACAAATCATGTTTATTGTTACATAGATAATGAATTCACATCTTTCTAATAACCATTATGGAAATATCTCTTAGTTGTTCTCTAATTTTCATGTAATCGATAATAATCCAACTTTATTGAATCTTTTTACGAATGAAATGACAATCAATATCAATATGTTTGTAACACTGTAAGCCATGGTATACGAATCGACCAACCAAACACACCTTTCAAATTAATTTATCAGATATTATATTTTAATTTATTATTCATAATATGCAAAACATAACAAAAAATCTCAAACTATATCTTTTTTTCCATTTAGGTGCCTAAACTTTCTTGTGGTCAATTTAGTTGTTTATTGTTACCAATATTATTATTTAGATGTCTCCATTACGAAAAAATATGCTATGCAACACTTGACGTATCCCGCCATCCTTTACTACTTGTCAACGAATAGCCACTCTACTGGACCTCTAATGTTATTGACGTTATCATCGATCGAACCTCCATTTATGACAAGAAAAAATAAATTTTAAATCTCTAATTTTTAACCTTAAATTCCTAAATACCAAAACCCACCATCACCCTAGTGACCAACGACAAGGGTAACAACAACAATGATGGTCGCCAAGGGATATAGTAAGAGCAGCGTCGACTGACAAGAAAAATGATAAAGGAGAGTAGAGTTAGGGTTAAGAGTTTAGATTTTTTATAATTTAGAGAAATTATATTTTTTTAAAATATAATGATTTTTTTTAAAATTTCTTTCAATTAAAAATTTCAAAATTTTATAAACGCCATACGTGTTTCCACCCTAAGCCTATTTCACATTTCTAATAAAGAATTAAAAAAAAAGGTTGAGTGGAGATGCATGGGTATTGATCCCCGTACCTCTTGCATGCAAAGAAAGCTATACCATCTAAGTTACATCCCCATTTGAACATTCATTTCAGTTGTCTTTAAAGAACATCTCACTACAGCAAAAGTGTTATGTAGCAGCGTTTTTAGCGGCGTTTTAGAGAAAACGCTACAAAATTTAAGCATATTGCGGCGTTTACAATTGAAATGCCAAAAATGATACTTTAGCGGCATTTTTTCAACAAACGCCGCAATAGAGTGGTAATTTAGCGACTTTTATAGCTTAAACGCCGGAATATAGTTATTTATAGTGGCGATTTTACAAAAAAAAATGCCGTAATAGAGTAGTAATTTAGCGGCGTTTTTATAAAAATGTCATAATAGGGTTGTTTATAGTGGCGTTTATCCAACAAAGGATGCTATATATAATTAATTTAGCGGTGTTTATCAAACAAATGCCGCAATAGAGTTGTTTATAGTGGTGCTTTTATAAAAACGCCTCAAAAATATATACTACAGTGGCGTTTTTTTAAAACGCCGCCAAAGGGTCAATATATGCTCTACCCTTTTCTCCTGCCTGATCCCTAAAATCAGTTCTACGCTTCTTCCCTAAAAGAGATTTCTCTGGTACAACAACAACCCTCACCTATTTCCAGGGGACGTCGTCTTCTGTCTGTCCCGGCGACCAAATCGACACTCTCATCGGCGAACAGTTATCTAACAATTGCACGGTTTGATCCCTTCTCTTACTGCTGAACTTTTTCATTTATTCTTTGTTGGTATTTTGAAAATGGGGAAAACCCATAAAGCTAACGTAATGGAGAAAAATAATAGCTTTCAAATAGGCAAAATAATAACTTTCGAATATCTATACATATTGTTTTACTGGTTTACTGCTTGGCAGCAATGTTTTTATGCTTTCGTGGAGAAAAATAATAGCTTTTGAATAGGAAAAATAATAACTTTCGAATATCTAAACATATTGTTTTACTGGTTTACTGCTTGGCAGCAGTGTTTTTATGTTTTCGTGGAGAAAAATAATAGCTTTCGAATAGGCAAAATAATAACTTTCGAATATCTATACATATTGTTTTACTAGTTTACTGTTTGGCAGCAGTGTTTTCTACTTTCGTGGAGAAAAATAATAGCTTTCGAATAGGTAAAATAATAGCTTTTCGAAACGTGAACAAATGGTTGTGATACAAAGAGCAAGTGTTGCATTCAGTAAGAGAAATTCTCGTCGGAATGTCCACGTGGCATCTTTGCTCTGACGATGGATCAAATTATCGTTGGGAGGTTATCAGTCCGAACTTGCCGTCGAAACTTGATGATGACCCAAAAGGCCCTCCTATTGCAAAATACCCTTCCATGGTCGATCTCCTAATTGAAGGTAATAATTAATCGTTGAAAGTTTATGCCACTATATTTTTATTTTGTACTCTAAAATTTCATAGATCACACGCATATAGGAGGTTCAAAGCTTATTGAGAACGATGATGATAGAAGAGTGGATAAATACCCGATGTTTAGAACCGAAATTGGTAACTCTGTGTCGTTGAAAGAATCTTCAATTGCAAAAGCAATATCTATCCTAAATGAAGACGACGTTGCCTCTACTGATACTCCAAGTAAAAGTTTCTATCTTCTATTTAAATTTTTTTAATGTTTGATTCAGTTCCATAGCCGCCTCCAATCAAGTTTCATACTGTAGGTGTAAGGTCGTTATCTGTTTCAAGTGAAGCAGTGCAACGCGCAAGGAGTCTTCTTGGTGAACCGGATGTAGGGGATTTATTTGGTGAAATGGATGAAGAGTTTCTCCATATAGAGTTTACACAGAGGAAAAACTTAACGATGCGTTGTCAAACAAAGAAAACAACTTTCCTACGTCTTTTCCCCCACGAAGGAGCACAATTAAATTCTAGTTAACAATATGGTGAAGATTTTTTATGCAACACTTTAATGTTTCTAAATTTTAATGTATTTTGTTGTTAAGTATTTTTATGTATAACTTATGTCTTAATTAAAATGTATGGTTGTTGGTAATTAGATAAAACTACATGATAACTTCTGCTTAATTAAAATGTATTAGTAATATAGCGATGTTTATAGCAATTGAAGATTCATCGTTGCAAAAGCTATATTACTACTCTATTGTGTCGTTGGTAATATAACGGCGTTTATAGCTCAAATGCCGCAATAGGGTTCATATATAGTGGCATTGTTTGATAAACGCCGCCAAAAATGTATAACTTTAGCAGGGTTTTGGTAAAAAAATGCCGCAAATGGGTCGGACTTTAGTGGCGTTTTACAAGAAATGCCGCAAATGGGTTGTACATTAGAGGCGTTTTTCTGTAAACGCCGCAATTGATTTTAACAAACGTGGCGTTTTTAATTAAAAATGCCGCAATTAGTTACACATCCACGGCGTTTGTATTGTTAAACGCCGCAAAGTCAGTTTTAAAACTCCTGAAGCCCTAGCCATTTTTCCTTCACTGCGCCGTGCCTTCTTCGTCTCCGCCAGTGACCACCGTTGCGCCACCAATCATCATCGTCGCGCCGCCAGTCACGATTCAAGGCTAAAAAATCGGTAATCTTTTACTGGTTTACCCTTTTTGAAACCAAAATTATTTCTAATTTGTGGATTATTATCACTATTGACTGTAGAAAAGTTGTGACCGTGATTCGAGGTTACCAATCGCTCAGGTTTTAACGGTGATTTCGCAGAAGCAAAAATCGGCTCTCAAAGAAGCTTACAAGAAGAAGAAGCTCCTCCCTTTGGATCTCCGTCCCAAGAAGACTCGTGCCATTCGTCGCCGCCTTACTAAACATCAGGTTCTTTTAGTTTTTGTTTACAGTTATTGAGATATTTGGAAATTTTTGGTTGAACACTTTAATGTTAAGTGTATATGCCAAGCATGAGAATATGGTAGATTTGTGATATTAACTCTTGGAAAATTTGAAGGAAATTCAGGCAGTGATAACTAGTTGTCTTTGTTTATTTTAATGCCAAAACATAGAATATAGTTTCGGTAGCGTATGTTACTTGTGCAAGTGTCGGATATGAGTATAAACTGGACACAAGCATTTGCAATGTATTTGGAGGATCCTTGAGGTCATATTCACATCTCCATGTGTCCGAAACAAGTGTATTAGATATAGGTGCTTTAAGAAAAAATGAAAGTCCAAGTGACTTAGTTAGGACTAAGAGATTTTGGGTAGCCTTCGGTTAATTTGTAGTAAATGTGGAGGGATTTAAAATGTCTGAGCCTAGCATGAAATGTAGGGGTATCTTTTAAATGCCAGTTGATATTAGTTTATCTTTTGGTTTTATTGGGTATGTACAATTTTTATTTCTAATCGTAGCTCTTAAGATCTTGTTATAGGAATGTAGATATTTGGTTTAATATCTTTGTTGTGACCTAGTTCTTATCATAGTTTGTTTACCCTTTCGAATAGTCCAAACTCCAAACGAATCAATTTTACTCATTTTTAATCTGAAGACTCTCTATGTAACCTTAAAAATTGTACTTTTTCTGCTAAAATAAGCCCCTAATCTATGATTTACATTTGAATAAGCTTTTGAGCTGTAATTTGTACCTAAGAAGCCTTAGCATTTAATTAACCCTAAAAAGATATTTGATGTTATTTGAGTACAAATGAAAGATAATGATCTATTTTATGATTACCTTCAAGGCTCTTGTTTTAATATTTTAGCCTATATTTATATTTTTGGTTAGATGTTTACTTTAATGGTGAATAGAAAGCATGTTGTTGCACTCTTAGGTGGATAGGATAAAGAGTACACCAAATTACCGGTCTAAAAAAAGAATCTTAAACAATGGCAGCCATGGAGGACAGCCCTAAACTAACCATTAGGAATCTCAATCCACGAGTCTTGTTTTCGTAGAAATTATGTGCAGTGTTCTTAAGTGTTTTTTCTTGAAAGGAGTCAGATTATGGTTACTATGGATTTTTTGATAGCGCATTATAATTTGGTATTTCTTTTTTCATTAGAGTGAATTTTGTTTGAAGAAATAAACCATCTATATGTGAACCCTTTACAATCAAAGAAAAGATGTCACAAGAACTCTTGAACATAGGAAAGAAAGAAACGATGATAAAACGGTAACGATAAGAACTATATCACCGTGCTTTAGTTATTATGTGAAACTTCACAAAGTGGTTCACAAAGTGGTGACTTGAATTTGACACTGAGGAGCTTACTTATTCAAAGAGAAACTTGTGAAGCCTCATAAATCGTTAAAACCTGAGCATCGTACATGGCCAAAAACTGTTTTATCTCAAACTCGAGAAAATTGAGTGATTGTGGACCTAGAGAAACATGAGTCCTCGCCTTATTATAGTGAAAAAGGTCTTCGCATGCCAAAAAATTATGGAGATAGATGAAGAGACAATGACAACAAAGTGCAGGAATATGATTATGTAGATAACTTTGCCATTTATTAACGTTACTAAAAGAAAATTTAACTCAATTTTTTTTAAGAATTCTATATTAGCCGATTAACAAAAGTGATTCGGATTGAAGTATAATATTAATTGTAAATGAAGGATTAAATTATATCAAACTGAAGAACAATGACTAGCGTAGCATAGATCCGAGTCTAAAAAATCAACAATAGAGGTATATGGTTTAAGCTTAGTTCCTAATATGCACGTAAAATATTGCTTGCTTGCTGCTAAAACTTATTTAAGTTTGTACAATGTCGTACTGAATCCCAACACTTAGACCTCATTCGATGATGAAGTCAGCCCATGTAATTGGTTTTACCAATTCTCATTGCACTTAATTAGCTTAATTGTTTTTGCTCAGCTGATAATGAACAACAGGATCATGCAAAAGTATATGAATATATATATATATGCTCATCTCCATGATTAAAATAGGAACATTTCACTAAAAAGATGTTAATTGAGTTGAGCAGCTAGAATTTAATTCATTTGTGAGGAACTCGTTTGTTAGGAAACAAAGGTAATCTTCTCTCCGTTATACTTTTGGGTTATTGTTTTTCTTTATTTCTTGAACCTTTCTCACATGGAACAAAGGTAATCAACTTCGTTTTAAGTTCTTCATGTCTCTCTCTTTAAGAATGAAACACGAGTTTGTTTAGATCTAAATGTTTGATTTCAATGAAACATCAGTGATAATGGACCATTATGAATTAACCGTAAATGTGATGTTTCAACTAGAGTGTTTTCTGGTATTTTATAGTTAATATTTGTGTCTAGAATCTGCTAAAAACCTTTCTTTTTTTACTTCTAAAAACCATAGTCTTTCTTTTATTTTGTATCTTGTTTTCTAGTTCTTATCATAATTTGTTTAACCTTTCCTTTGACCTTCTAAAAACCATAGTATTTCTTTTATTTTGTATCTTGTTTACATATTTCCCTTTTTTACTTTGTGTAAATGAAATGTATCTTCTGTAGGCCCCTTTAGTTTGTCTCTTTTATTTTCTAGTCTAAGAATTGAAGCAAATCATGTTCCTGAAAGTTCCTGAACCTCGGAAATCACTGTTGTTGTTGGAGTTTGATCGAGTTGCACATGTATAAGTGACATGCATATATTATTCTGATTCATATTAATATATTAAGTGGTTCTGATTCAAATTCTCAAGTTCATGATAGATAAATACGAAGTGGCATGCAATGTTTAATTCTGGCCTTTACTTTAGAATTAAGCTTAAATGTAACTATTTATGCTCTCTCAGGAAAGCCTCTGTAAGGTTAGTTGTGGATCACCAAACATTTCTGGTTCTGGTTCTTGTTCATCGAAATAGCATCATAATCAACATTTTTCAGGTTTGTCCATGACACTCATTAAGTAAAGTATTTTTGCGTTGCTTTAAGATTGTCAAGTCAAGTGTATTAAATTATTCTTGGTGTCGCATAGTTGACTAGGACTTAAGTGGGTTGTCCTTGGAATTCTATCTTCTAACAATCATAATTAATCACTGAGAAATAGTATGCATTTCACTGAGAAATTGTTAACTACGACTTAAGTCGGTTGTCCTTTTGTGTTATTCTTTTTCTTTATTTCTTGAACCTTTCGCACATTTAACATTGGGTTTATATTTCGTTCTAAGTTCTTAATGCCTCTCTCGATAACAATGAAACATGAGTCTATTTAGATGTAAATGATACATTTCGATGAAACATATGTGTAAGTATTTAGTTCTATAGTATGCAGTTGTATATAATTCTTGTTATAATTTTTATAAATTAACTGAGATACACTTGCTCCCATAAAATTTTATCAATTTAAAAGTTGTATAATTTAGGAGTGATTAGTTCTATACTATTCAAATATTATTATGCACTAAATATGATAATTTAATGCTTTTGTTTAGGTTCTAAATTTATCTATATTATTAGCAATTAACATTTGAAATACAAACTCCAGAAATACGAAATGAATAAAAGTTGGATGGATTTCTCAAGGGTAAGCGTCGATTATCGAAATGGAGTCGAAAACTTTTTAAATTTAGAATTTCTGAATGCAAGCCAAGAAAATATGATTCTTTGCCCTTGTAAGAATTGTGTGAACATTAATTGGCACATTCGTGAAGTTGTGTACGAGCATCTAGTTGTTTTTGGATTTGTTCGGGGGTATAGAAAATGGATCTTTCATGGAGAGTTTGTATCAGATAGATCTGCTTCCATGAGTTACTTGACTTTGCTCCTTCTCCCCATCCAAATTTTAGAGAAGATGATATGGAAGGGATGTTACGAGATGCATTTAATATGCACAATCATCAGTCGTATGTTATAGAAAATTATTGCCGGGATGATGTTAATGATTTCATTGAGATTGGAAGAAATGGATGTGATGAAGAGCCAAATAGAGAAGCGACAAAGTTTTACAAGTTGCTGAATGAAATGAATGAACAACTTTATGAGGGATCAAAGTTTTCAAAGTTTTCTTTATGCATTCTTTTTTCCACTTAAAATGCCTGGGAGGGTGGACTGGTAACTCCTTTACGCAATTGTTGGAGTTACTAGGAGAAGTGTTTTCTTTTGCAAAAATCCCTCAATCATGCAAAGATATGAAGAAAATGATCAAAGATTTGGGTCTTGGATATGACAAAATTCATAGTTGTCTGAATGATTGTATGTTATATTAGAGTGATTGAAAAAATCAGGAGTCTTGTCATGTATGCGGAAAATCTCGATGGATGACTAGGGAGGCAGAAAATGTTACTGAGGATGACAAGCACGATCAAGAAAGAAACCGATCAAGATTTTACGATATTTTCCTCTCATACCTAGGCTATAAAGATTGTTTATGTCCTCCAAGACTGCTGAGTCTATGAGGTGGCACATGATGGCAGAATCGATAATGGATTATTACGGCATCCTGTGGATTCTTTAGGTTGGAAGTTGATAACTCCTTGAAAAGGTCATATTTTGGGACCTTTTCACTTAAGTTATTGAATGTCTAAGAGCCCATTTAGGACCATTTAGATGCATTTAGGAGCATATAGTTGCATGTGGTGGATTTCAATTTGCCGTGGCATTTTATTTTTACAGCGGTGCTGCTTTATGGGAAAGATACTTGTCTGATGATGTGCAGGTGTTGAAAGCAAGGAAAAGAGGATTTAAAATGCCGTGACATAAGGATATTGCTGAGCTAAATAAAAATGCCAAGTTCAAATGGCATTTCAGGAGCGTACAAGGAGAGAGAAGATATTTTCTAGCCAGCTATCCCGGATTTTACGCATGCTCTGCCCGAGATACCCACCGCAGTATTTTGGCGCTTCAACCACCGGTTCTATTGATGACGTTGCCTAGTCTGACCCTGTAGATCCTGTCAGTCCTAGGGCACCTGTAACGGGATTATGCCGGTC